TTATGCAGCATGGGCGAGCGAAGGAGAATCTCCGATGCGCCCTTCAGATTAGTAGTCCACAGTCTTATCGGTCTGAGGTGTGAGTTTTAGTAGTTGCATCACTACTGTTTAGTCTGTGATTCTTGATTACATCAAACTGTATGCCCATGTGGCGCAATACATCAGTGATGTGAGCAACAAGAACGTTATATATGTCAATTGTCAATATTTTTTCACAGTGTCTGTGACACCATTGGTTACACATGTAGCAGCTCAGAGCTTTTGCTTTTGCTCGAGACTGCTTTTTTACATCTGATCCTTAGCACACTAGGCGCGATATTCAGCTTTGTCATATCTATTTTCTGTGGCATTCAAATTATCTATATAAAAACAGGTAATTCTGTCGAACGTTATTATCAATGATAGATGCAATAAATGTTAGGCAGCACTGATACACCGTTGAAAAGAATTAGAACGATACCGCGTGGATTGTGCTGTGGGAATGATTCCCCGTTTTGGTCTTTTGTTCGGTCTCGTTGCCTGCTCCGTAGGTTTTATCCAGCGATCCTCCCTGTAACGTCCGAATCTCTTCAGGTTATCCCCTTGAAATTTCATTGATCTTCCTTGCTCAGGTCAGTTCATGTCAGGTTAAACAAGACTGATCGTAGCCACTGCTAATCGAGCTTCCATATTTCTTCAGGCAGTATGCTCACAAGGTGTGCACGCACCACTGCAAATTGCCTCCAGCACGGTGTCCTTACTGGAAAGGAAAAAGCTCGACTCCTTTCATCTCATCGGCGAACCAGGTCAGGTCAGTTCAGGTTGAACAGGATTGGCAGTGGCCACAAGCCAATCAAGCGTTCAAAATTCCTTCGTTGGTGTGCTCACGGGTGTGCGTCCACCTCTGGTTCATAAAAGCGTTCCAAAGAACAATGAAGATCCTATTCTGGAAAGAGCTCATCCAGAGCGAGCTTAAATGCAGTCACGCTTCCCAAATCTACTAATTCCTTTGGCAACCGGTTTCAACAGTTAATTACTTTGGTACTGGAAAAGCTGGATCTAACAACCAGGTTGCAACGTTGCTTATTTAATTTGTACTCATTCCTTCTAGTCCCTTGGTGGATAACCTCCTGGAACATGCTCTCTTTCCTTACTCCCGAGAGCTCCTTTACAATCTTAAAGGTCTCCAATAAGTCTCCCCTTAGTCTCCTCCTTTGTAGCGAGAAGAGTCGCAAGTCTTCTAGCCTGTCTTCGCATGACTTACCCTTTTGACCTTCAATCATTCGCGTGGTTAGTCTTTGGACTTTCTATAAACAGGCTGCATCCTTCTCCTAGCGGAAGTCTGCGGCCACCGACATTGCTAAGTCTCTGCTGGTTCTTACAACCCCTGCGGTGAAACCCCCTCCACCTAGTTGGATTGAAAATTGTTCACCAACACGGGAAAGTATATTACTTTTCTCTTCATTCAGTGGGAGGTCCCATACTGTTGCCCATTCCGTTGATCGACGCAGATCATTCTGCAATTGCTGCCGACTGGCTAATCCCACGATCTTGATATCATCTGCAAAGACGAAGCATGGCGAACGTAGGATGGCAGCCAAGTCGTCTATAAAAATGAGGAACAGTAAGGGACCAAGCACTGAGCCCTGTGGTACTCCACTAGTGGGCATGGCTTTGGCTGATACTTTGTCTCCATTCCCCACGTAAAACGTACGACCAGTCAGGAATTCCCTGATCTAGTTATGTATCTGCCCAACTATCCCCTTGTGTTCGAGCTTAGCTAACATAAACCTGTGATTGCCGGAATCAAAAGCTTTGTAAAGTCTAGATAACAGAATTCCACAGCTTCGCTCTCATCTAACCTCGAAGTTTCCTTATCTAAAAAACAGTAAATTGGATAATCATGATTTACTCTTGGTAAACCCGTGCTGTTGATCAGTAAGCAGTCAGTTTCGGAGTAAATGCTGTGCAATCTGCGTCCCCACTATCCGTTCTAGGTACTTGCACAATATACTCGTTAGGCTCACCAGCCTGTAATTAATAATCTGGGGTCGTGATCCTCCCTTGT